GTTCCTAACGTTCAACTCAATACCTAATATTGTAGTAGGTAATAATAAATTTTACGTCGCAAATCAAATTATCGACATACCTGTCGGGACCTACGAGATCGACGACATTGATAAATTTCTTCGCAAAGCTGTGCAGCGTCTCCGCACTGATAATAATAATATAACATTAAGTTTGAAACCAAACAACAACACCTTGCATTGTACAATCAAGTGTTCTGAACCTATCGATTTTCGTCCGCAGAATTATATTGAATGATTGTTGGGTTTCTCACGACGTACATTAGAGGCAAACGTTTCTCACAACTCTGATCTGGTGTGAGAGTCCAATGTAACATAACTGCTGGAGCTTACTTGAACGGAAACACTGTTCACGATATTCACAAATTTTTTCCAGCAGTACCGCCTGGATATAAATTATTTGAAATTCAACGGACCTCTCCGTCCGATTTTTCAATAACATTCACTTTGTTTTACGTCTAAAAATTTAACATACACACACACACACCATAAAATGAAAGCGTGTAACATAGAACGCACGGGCATCAGTAAAGGGTGGTGGAAGGGAAGTGAGTCGACAGTGATATGCACAGGCATTAGCTCAGAGAGGACATCAGCTCAGTGAGCTGATACCCCTCTGAGCTAAGGCCTCTCTAGTTTACCTACTAGTACCCGTCGAGAGCTTTTTTCCTTGAACACACGTTATACATATATTTTATTAAAACATCTTCACTTTTCAATTAATAACCTAGCATACGATAGGGATGGGATAAAAATATTTATCATCCAAATAGTCTTATTTATACACAGCAATTTTTTGACGCACCACTTATCAAACTTCTTCAAAATTACTCGTAATACATGCCAAATTTTTTCTATGGTCACATTTTAATGCATTTTGCACGTATCATTTTCAGATACCCTCACTCTCTGACTAACAAGAAGGAATGAGCAGATATTATCGCTTGTGAACACATACATGCAGTTAGCGAATTTGTTACAACGCGCTAGTAAACATCAATTTGTCAACAAGTTGCATTAGACGTTGAAAACGCGTATGTTTGAAAAATAGCAGAGATAGGTGTACAACGATAAAGCAATAATAATATATTTATGAATCATATAATAAAACTATTAATTACTTCAATGTTTTTTTAACAAAAAATTCTTTAGCAAATAATATTTATAAAAAATGAATAATATCTGTGGATAGAGCATTAACAACAAAATATACTACAAAATAACAATAACAATAAAGACGATGAACCTACTTGTTCAATTCACAAAAGCATGATAAGATTGTTGCTTGCTAAATGATAGCCGTTCGGTTGCAAGCTCAGACGTGCGAGCGCAAGTTTCCGCGTCCCAGGGCGCTGGCGCGCGGTGTAACTCGCCAATTCGCATTCTGCTGCTAAGTAAAAATGGATATAATTCAGCGACCAGTAGTACATTTATCGGCGGGACTTAAAAGATTCGTTATACGATCAAGAATAACTATAGCTAATTAATTTCACGATATTTTAGGGTTTTAATTGCTTGAGGGGCTCGTAAACAATTGACTTTGGTATTTTACGATGAAAATTTCGCATTTCAAACGCTATAAAAAGTTCCAAAACAAACAAAATTGTACGTATTAGGTCTTATTAAAAAAAAAAAAAAAAAAAAAAAAAAAAACAGGTATTTCGTTCAAAATAAATCGTTAAAAGTCTCATTGCCTCTAATATGAACTGCGATATAATGGATGGAATGAAAAAAAAAAAATTTGTTATTATTTCGTACTAATTTACGTGTAACTTTTCTACTAATTAATACATTTTTTCAAAAATACAATTGCAAAATGTTTCTTATATGATTTCTATCGATCTGACTGAGCAGAAATACAATAGATTTGTTAACTTACAAGTTACAGACATTTGAACAACTAAATTATTAATAGCAAAAAACTGACAGGTTTTTGGCGGAACCCTCGAAAAATCAATTCTCCGCATCAAAATACATAAAAATCAATAATATTTTCGAGAGGAGATCAAAGTGGCTAAAGGAAACCCCCCCCCCCCCCCGTGCCCGGACTATACGCTATTGTATATACTACCTACAACAGAGTTAGTCCCGCGCTTACGCAATATAAAGAAACTGAAAAATTTGTAGGATGGAAAAAAATAAACTAGACCATTTCACAACTAATAGCGAAAAAAATATAGAAATTGGCGTGCGAAAAATATAATTTTGTCATTTAATTGAAAAAAAATAATTATAGAAAGATATAATTGTAATTGTATAAAAAAATATATACATTTAAAATATAAAAATTGATTCGCTCATGCCAAAGCTGTTGTGCATAGTACTATAATACTCTATAGTCGCTAAAAAATATACCTGTACCTTCGGCATTCATGCCACAGCTTGTTGCCACGATCCTTGATGCTCAGTTTTTAAGTATTTTCATACGCTTAAATATAATATGAAGAACAACTATATTAAATGAAAGTGATAAAATTCATATCTTTTAAATTTGACATTGGTTTAAAAATAAGATTATCGACACGAGACTAATAAATTAAATGTAGTAATTGAATTAGAAAATATACTAAAACAATATTATATCAAAGAAAGTCATAAGAAAATTTCATTTTAATTTATAAGATGCCAGAGAGTGTTGTTTTTTTTGTTTGCATACCAACTTCAAATTACGAATACCATGTACTATTTGGTAGAGAAAATGATAAAATACTCGTCAAAAACGTTGGAAATGGAAAAATAAATCTGAATCTAAATGATGAGAACAAAGTAACGTCATCTTCAAATGTAGGATCATATAATAATATACTTATAAATGAACAACAGGTATATTCGAAAATATTGCAAAATAAAAATGTATGCAATGTATCAGCAGAATTACAAAATTTACAGAGTAAAATATTTATTTCTATGGAAATTGTAAGTTATTTTTTTCTCACATATTATTTTGTCATAAACTGTCGATTTCATAATTTTGTGATAATACTAAAAATCATGAAATCTTACATAGTTTTTCATATAGTTTCTATATAAAGTATACATGTTACTTTTTCACGAGCATCTTTTTTAAAAATCCATATACTACATTCATTCTCGTTCGCATGCACTTCCCTTTTTAAATTTAATTTTTCAAATAAATGTGGTTATTTATTTGAATGTTATATTTTTAGATTTTTGGAAATGTATTTGTATACAACAACAATAGATGATTATATAAAAGAATATATTGTTATAGGGGTTAAGTGCATGAGTTGATCAACAAAGATATTGTATATCTGCAGCGTTAAATGTTTGAGGTTATTGAATGTATGAGATAATATATCACGATTCAACCTGACAAACCTGTCTCAAAACCGTAGGTACAAGCAAGTACATCGTATATTTATCTGCATCAAGAATCCCCACAGGAACAAGTTAATTATTGTATCGAATAAGTACTTTTTCGCAAACCATTTTAAACAATATAATTTATAATTATGAATTTATAGCAAAATATCATGACAATGTGTTTTCTTAGAAATTAAAACTTAGATTACTTTTAATAATAAAAGTTTAACGTCGTCAAATTATGTGTGTGTATATGTGTGTGTGTGTAGATGACTTTTTATAGATTTAAAAAAAAAATTCTATAATCATGTATAGAACTGTAGTTTATGATAATCTATAATACTTTGAGATTACTTATCCAAAAAAAGGTTTTAACATAAACCAGGTCCGAGCAATTTTAAATTCATAGATCGTCGAAACCAGTGTTTCATGAAAACAAAAATCTATACCTCGTAAAACCAATTAAATTAAAAAAAATTTACTACATAGACCTATAGGAATATATATATTTTATTTTATATATATATAATATATATTTTATATATGGGAATGTATTTCCACATTTCTGAAGTAATATGTAAAATAGAACATCAAAAATAAAATAGAGATGTCAATGATATTTAGAGCATGATAACCTAACATGACTTTATTGGCATATCAATCAATAATAAATAATATCAAACATATATTAATACGACGCAGAATTGTTAATGGATATAAATGAGATAATAAAAAATAATAAAAAATATTAAAATAATATAATTGATGGCTCTAATTGTGATATATCAGTTCCTTCAAATTTTACTTGATCATAGTTATGGACCAAATATTAATAACGTAACCTGACCCTCAATTGATCAAATACATATGACAGTGACAATTACCTTATACTTTTATTAAGGATCGCGGGAGGGTCTTGCGGCATGACTGCCGGAGGCGCGAACTAACGCGATACTATACACAATAACCTTACCATGGGTGAAGTCATAACATTTTTTTAAACATATTAGGCGTTTTATTATGCTTTTTAATTCTACTATAACCTATTCATTAGTAGTAAAATATGTCATAAAAGTATCAATTTTCATTACTACATTGACATTTGTTCATTTTTGTATCTACTTATTTCCGAGGTGGTCCAATTTTATTTTCTTCTCCAGCCGTGAAAAATGTATTCAGTACTTTCTACTGCGTATACTTGATCAAGCACTCGATAATCGAATTCGAGATCTTGGTTGTTTGAACTGATTTCTAATTCTATATAGTATAGATTGATGATACTTGATCAACTACTATAATAGCATATTATAACGTATATATAATAATAACTAAATTATAACATATATATTATAATAACTAATATAACGTATATATTATCATAGTTATCATAATATCATAATTATCATAGTATAATTATCATAGTTGAATGACTAAGGATTGTTGAATTTATTATTGTTCATTATGTAGTTTTTATAAAGACAGGTAAGCGTATATGTATAACCTATCAATTTTAATCGTATAAATAAAATGAAAACGTGATGAAGTTCTTTTCCCACGATCTAACCTATAATTTTGATTTACTTTTTGTATTTTCTATACTATTTGTCCTGTTATAATTTTGATTGAATTTGATCATCTAATCTAAAAACTACTTACAGTGTCAATATTAAGATTAAGATGCCTATCAATTCAGAAGGGAAAAATGGCACTTATACCAGCAATCAGAATATTCAGTACCTGTTGGAAACGCCGGACGATGACATTTCTGTGGAAGGTCGTTACATTCCAGTAAGATTACGATCCTATACACACTTGAAAATTGTGTAAAGATTACTTCACAAGTATGATCAAGAAAAAAAAAATTCGAGTCATGGAATGACTCAAGCATTGAGCTTCTATGGGACGAGCTTAAACGAGCTTAAAAAAAGTTCAACTATTTTTCGTTTCTTATTTATGAGTGTTTTGCAGTCTGAATGGCAAAAAATTAGTGAAATAACTTTCAAAAAACTTATTATACGAATGCCTAGAATTTGTAAAGCCGTCATGAAAAGTAAAGGGCGTTTTTTTAATGAAAAAAAAATGTGAATATTTATATTTATTAACTTTAAAAGTTTGTTACATGAATATTATTATGTTTATAAAAATATTATATTAATATTTCATATTATAAAAAATTATATTTTTGTTACTTTGAAAGTATTACATTATTTTTCTAAAATTGTTTTATTACAAAAAAAGTTCCATTATATTTACTGTGACGGTAAACGTCAAATTAGCGCTAATTTTCTAACCTAATTGCTGTCTGGGGGGGGGGGCAGCACTTGCCGGGAGACGAAAAAAGTAACGACGGAATTCGGCACACGAGCAGACGGAACGCGCGCGATTGAAAATGAACCAGTGAGGGACTAACCATCATCACGTTCGCCCGTGTTTACAACGCTAGCTATCGATACGTGAGCCGCCGAGATCGAAATCTGCAATTAAAGTTTCCGAACCAGAGCCGATTACCAGTGACCGCTGTTACCTAGTTGTCCGGAGTGCTGACCTGAGTCAGTGGAAGCGGTGCCATCGCCTGTGAAGCCGAACGTTAGCGTGTGAGGTGTTTCGCCATCGAGGGCGAAACCACGTGCGTGCGCGTTCGCTATCCGCAGGTAACGAAAGACAGACTTTTCCCGCAGTGAGCGTGTGAATTATACTTCTTGTCTCCGTACGTCTGCTAAATAAAGGTAAGCTGGCCAGCTTAATTTCGAGGTCGCGATACAATTGTTACTCGGCTAATCATTCGAAGCGAAGCCTGCATGTAATAGCTCTACAGACAAAGAGCAGCGAGCGTCCCGACACTGCATGTTGTTGTCGAGCGAGCGCCAATGTAAACATACACACGCGGGCCAATTCTAGTGTAGCATTTGAAAGATAATAAAAGTTTTCGTATATGATATTCACAGTAATTTCGGAGCGTTCTTTCCGTATTTGTAGTTAGTTGGTTGACTGACACTTGTTTCCCCTTGCTCTCCGACTCCCGTATTGAACATAGATAATTACGAGCGCTCTTCAATACGATTACGCGAATAGAAGTTAATTAAACGGTAACAACCCCGTTATGTTACATAACAATAATATGATAATGAATATGTATGTATTACTTTATAAAAGTGTCTAGAAATTATTTATTTCTATTTATTTATTTATTTATTAAATTATTGCTAAACTTAATTAATAATTTATTATTGAAAATTTGTGTGAGACTTTTGGTCATAATTAAATACAAAAAAAGTAAAGAATATAAAAAATAATAAAATGGCTATCGTGAAAAAATGACAAGAAAAATTAGTGCAGATCTTACTTTTCACTTTATTTTTGTATTCTTTACCAAAAAAAACAACTTTTATCTTTAAAGTTGTTTTATTTAATGCATAGCAATCGAAATATGAACTGATGAAAAAAAAACGATTGTTTTTAATAAAAAAGCTATATCACTGTATAAAATAGTCAGAAATGAGTTCTGTCACCCTTATATTAAAGTGGAACATTCCACCTTTCAATTTTGCTTTGATTTTTAATTGTTACGTGATGCCCTATTATATTACAATTATATACTATCGAATAATATTTTGCTTTCGGGATTTCCGTTCGGACACAGTATAGCTAGTAGTATTCGTATGCGCGACTCGGTGGGAATGAGCGGCAGAGGCTGATTAACGCTGCGTCAGCATGCTGGGACAGCATGCTGCAGTCGGCGTGCTTAGCTAGGTAAGACGAGCCGCTACGAGAAGCGTAAACGTCTAAAGCATATGCGCGAGAGAGAGACGGTATGCTAGGGACTAAGGCTATATAAAAAACCAGCGAAAGCAGAGCAGGAGAGAATTAATCAGTCAGGAGTGAGCGCTCGACTAAGAAGCCTGCAATTTTCCTACTAAACTTAAATCTATAATTTAAGAGTTTGAGAATATAAGAGTTAGAGTTATAATTAAATATTCGAAATACCGAGTACCATTATTTCTAAAAATTTTGTGTAAACGAAAATCATAGCAATATTCACTTTATTGCGTATTGGAATATTATTGGATAAAAGAAATATATATTGGACCAGTTAATCTGACCGAATTCAAAAGGAGTGATTGCCCACATAACGAACCAAACAATATTTCGGACCAAAACAACAGAGTTAGTACTTCCGGCCTCTATTCTCGATAAACCGAAATCTCTTCCTTGTATTTTTTTTCTCTCTCTACTACTCACCATATTCAAGGTTTTCCTTTCGGTGAATCCATTTGTTTGCGTACCGGGACCAGGTGTGTAAGGACGACCGACCGCGCATTTTAGAACATTTATTTAATAAATCGTGAACTAGATAGTAGCGCGATATCATTACTAGACGTGTTATCTTATGTATCAAAATATATATAAATCTATCCTACGTACCCGTGTAAGTTCATTTTAATAAACCAGCGAGCCCCCCCCTTTTTTCCCATTACTCTCGCTTACCGCTCGTGTGGACGAATTTCGGATATTATCGGCAAAAACGCGATCCATTCGCTGACACGGTCGGGGTACCGTACTGAAGGTTCAATTCGCCCGAGTCAGGACCACTCGGAGCTAAAAACGGTCTAACACGTGGCCGTTTTGAAAAGACATCCAAACTGTCACGTAACATTAATGATCCGCTAATTTGCGTAACAAATAAATAAATTTGTATATGAGCAAAAAAAAAGAAATTTTTTATGTCCATTTTTTCAGCATAACAAAACTTAATTCTAGTACAAACAATATTATCTTCACGTTGATATTATTAGAACTCATCATTGTTAAGTATGTAGAAATTACAAGAATGGAAGAGTTAACCCTTTAAGTTTAAGAAACCTAACAAATAAATAAATTCAAATCTTTTTCATGATAACGTTTCCTTGGCATGGACACCAACCTTTTCAGATCTTTATTAACAATACAAATAATTATTAAAATACATTTACAAACAAGGTCAATACACAATACATTCAAATAACAAACCAAATAAATTTTGAAAAATATCATGCTATACGAGGTGTAATAAAAAAATACCCGGAATTTTAAAATTTCGCGGGTCTGGAGAGTACGATTGTCAAAATTTTTTTTATTGTGTTGGTATACGTGCCCCTGAAGTATGATAAAATTTTCAGCTATATTCACTGTTTACTTTGTCTGCGGTAGTCGCTAAGGTTTGACGTGTTTTTATGAGCTCGGCGATTTTCGTTTTTTAAAAGAAATGGATCAAAGAATTTGTATTAAATTTTGCGTAAAAAATGAAATAAAGTGTAACAAAGTGTGTGAAATGTTACACAAAGCCTATGGTGAGTCTGCTATGAAAAAAATAAGTGTTTCCGAGTGGTATAAGCGTTTCCAAGATGGCTGCGAAGACGTTGAAGATGACGAACGCTCCGGTCGACCCAGCACGTCAACAATCGATGACAATGTGAAAAAAGTGGAAAAAATGGTTCTGAATGATCGCCGAATCACAATTAGAGAAGTTGCTGATGAAGTTGGCATATCAATTGGCTCATGTCATAGCATTTTTTCAAATGTTTTGGGCATGAAACGGGTGGCAGCAAAATTCATTCCAAAACTGCTGATCTTTGATCAAAAAAACAATCGCACGAACAACGCTCAGGAGCTGTTAAACAACGTCAACGACGATCCAAGTTTGCTTGAAAGGATCATAACTGGTGATGAAACATGGGTGTATGGTTATGATGTCGAAACCAAAGCACAATCGCCCACCTGGAAACATTCAACGTCACCAAGAGCAAAAAAAGCACGTCAAGTTCGATCAAATGTGAAGGTTTTGCTTACAGTTTTCTTTGACTGCAGGGGCGTGGTGCATCATGAGTTCTTATCACAAGCTCGTACGGTTAATAAGGAGTATTACCTTGAAGTTATGCGACGTTTGCGTGAAGCAATCCGAAAAAAACGCCCCGACTTATGGAAAAACAATTCATGGCTTTTGCATCACGATAACGCACCTGCTCATTTGTCGTTGCTTGTTCGTAATTTTTTGGCCAAAAACAATACCGTAGTCGTGCACCAACCTCCATATTCACCAGATATAGCTCCGTGTGACTTTTTCCTGTTCCCAAAGTTGAAGAGACCCATGAAAGGACGGCGTTTTTCCTCGATTGAAGAAATAAAGGCCGAATCGCTGAGAGTGCTCAAGGACATACCAAAAAGTGAATATCAAAAGTGCTTCGAAAATTGGAAAAAACGCTGACATAAGTGTATTATATCTGGGGGGGGGATTACTTTGAAGGGGACCACATTGATGTAAACGAATAAATAAATATTTTTTTGGAAAAACGATAATTACGGGTACTTTTTGAACACACCTCGTATATAAATACCAGCAAAAACTATGAATATACATTCAATAAATGGCAGTCAAACAAACAAGAACAAATTGAATTTACAATTAAAAAGTAATTCATTATGATCATCCAAGGGATCGTATCGCCACTTTGTATTGCACTGAATATATCACTAATATATATATACAGTGCCCGTCAATCACTTTTGCCATGCTTACCTCAAAATTAGGCAAACTTGAAAGTTTTGTATCTCGGTCGGAAATCATCGTATCACAAAAAACCGGAGGGCATTTTAAAGGTAATTGCAAAAGCTTCCATTTAAGACGTGCAGAGACTTAAAAATGAAATAATATGTTTTTTACAGTAAAAAAACTGATTAGAAAAATTTCAATTTTTTTAACCACGACTTAAATCAATGCCAATTTAGAACCACGCGGTGGAGGGCAAATCGACCTGAGGGATTAGGAGGGTAATGTCTTTCCCTTTAAAATGAGCTCCCGCGGGGTTCTATCCGATGTTTTTTAACCGAGTTTACGGCGTTTTTTGTAAAAAGCAACCTTCTTTTTCCAATACTCAA